TATTTTACCTGACATTAACAGTAACTCACATTCAGGTTCTGTGTGAAATATTTATGACTTCAGTTATTGTGGGAGTAGTTGTGATGGTTACAATGACATTATTAACAGGGCGCCTGTATGGTGAAGCACCAACCATAGGAAGAATACAGATGTGTAGTTATATATTTGTAGAAAAATCCTTAAATCTTGTATGTGAAACAATACTTGATAAAATATGTCCTAGAATGAATTCAGTTGATGAAAAAATGTAACTGAAAAGAAATATATGTTTTGTTAATTGAAATTGTTCTGAAAGGGAAGTCTCTTAACTCCTTTTTTTAGTTAAGCATGGCTTCAAGATCTTCCCGTGTTACTTATGTGTAAATAATATCAGGCAAAACTGCTGATAAATGTGATGCTTCACAAGAACTATTTACTTCCATGCCCATCTACGTGTTGCCACAGTACACACCGCACAAACAATATTGGATGCCTTTTCAAATCATGTTCTTATACTTAATCCAACGAAAATGGAGATGTGAAATGAATGTTATTACTATTTAACCTTTACAATTGCTTCACTAACTGTTATTGCATCCATTTAATCATGGTTAAACATGTTCAATGTCATGTGTTATGATCTAGACTGCTTGTCATGAGAAGAGGGTAATATTTTCTGAATATTGTTAGAAAGAGTGAGTGGATGAATTTAAGACTCATTTAAGTTAAAGAACAGTAGCTTTCTGAAAAATTATCATGTTTTTGTTGATATAAATTTTCATGTTGAATAATGCTCTGAAGGTGAGCTTCGGTACCTCTTTACAAAATGCTTACATTCACTGACAATGTCTATGTTCTGTCCCCTTCCATCCTCCAGTGATTCTATGCATATCTTTATTGTTGGTGTAAAGTGTACATTATCTTTCTATATATACTGGTATTACTGTGGACTTGAAGAATTTACATACAGTTTAGCTTCTGTTCTACATACATTGTGTAAAATATGTCAATTTAATAAATGCCTTTGATGCTTTGAATTTTGTTTGTTGTTGGTCTAGACAATAATACTTTGGGAAATGCATTCTCATGGGTGAAAATCTTTTACCAAATATCACTGTGGTTTAAACAAGTTTTCTTCTTATATTTTTAGGATGTGACCAAAATTTAGGAATACTTGGTGTCTTTGCTTATTCTCTTTTTCATCCATATTTTTTAACTTAATCGATTGTGAAGAATATAGGTCAATTAATGTGGTCACAGAAGTAACAATTCAACTTTTATTAAATTAAATATATAATCGTTTCACACCACTGACAAATTGTTAAAGAGATCATTAAGAAAACTAACTAACCAATATCTGACAACAGGTCAGTCAAACCCTTCTGCTTTGATTTGCAACAACTGTTCTGCTTTGATTTGCAATAACTGTTCTGCTTTGATTTGCAACAACTGTTCTGCTTTGATTTGCAATAACTGTTCTGCTTTGATTTGCAACAACTGTTCTGCTTTGATTTGCAACAATTGTCCTGCTTTGATTTGCAACAAATGTTCTGCTTTGATTTGCAACAATTGTTCTGCTTTGATTTGCAACAACTGTTCTGCTTTGATTTGCAACAATTGTCCTGCTTTGATTTGCAACAAATGTTCTGCTTTGATTTGCAACAATTGTTCTGCTTTGATTTGCAACAACTGTTCTGTTTGATTTGCAACAATTGTTCTGCTTTGATTTGCAACAATTGTTCTGCTTTGATTTGCAACAACTGTTCTGCTTTGATTTGCAACAATTGTCCTTTGATTTGCAACAAATGTTCTGCTTTGATTTGCAACAAATGTTCTGCTTTGATTTGCAACATTTGTTCTGCTTTGATTTGCAACAATTGTTCTGGTTGTACTTAGAACTGATGTTCTGCAGTTAGATACTGGAGATTCAAACCCCTGAGGACTTTGGTTAGAACAGGTCCTCCAAATGACTTCCTTGTCATGCAAGATGTGACTCAAGGGACAGGTCATGCATGTTGATAATGTGTCCTCATCGGGCTGGACTTTCTGCCACTGGTTTGCCTCATCCAGACATTGATAATTACAGGCCTTGGTCACCTGGAACATTATAAGTTGTTCTCTGGTCTCGAGGGGGACATGGGCTGATGTACTGTCAATGTTTGTTTATGTTCCCTGAGCCCAAAGAGTGAGTGAGTTTAGTTTTACGCCGCTTCCAATATTACAGCAATATCATGGCAGGGGGCACCAGAAATGGGTTTCACACATTGTACCCATGTGGGCAATCAAACCCGGTTTTTCGACGCAATGAGAGAACACTTTAACCACAAGGCTAGCCCACTGCCCCTGTACACATAGGAGATGAATAAAGTATGAAGTACTGTTGACATAAGCAAGGGTGATGAAGGAAACAAGGGAATAGGACAACTTGGAAGTACTGACAATGACTTTTCTTCATGCAACCCATGGGCCCCGAGGGACCAGTGAACAACGTATTTATCTCACCGAACACCTCAATGGTAATTTTGAACTGTTTGAAACACGTGTATCGGATCATAGTATGGAGGACAAGACGTCAAGAAAAACAAATTATCTCCGTTCCATCAATTTGCATTGGCAAAACATCGGTAATTTCCGTACATCATACGTGATTCAATGTTATTCAAGATAAAGAATTACTACTACAAAGTACAAAACGGGTTCGGCATTCCCAGCGGGGTACATTGAAAATGTTACTCGCTTGTAAGCGGGGTACATTGAAAATAATAGAAGTGCTCAGCCAATCAGAAAACTATGTTTATGTGTGAGGCAAGATAATGCTTATTGTATCACCTTTGAGCTTTCAATCATCTGTAGTATCACACTTACATATACAGTACTGGTTCCATGCATGTGAACATCACCTCCTTGGTGTAGTTGGAAGAGTGCTTGCCAGCAAAGACACAGGTCTATGGTCCGATCCCCAATGTCTCATACCAAGAGACAAGAGATGTTAGAGGATCATACTTGTATTTTCCCTGCCTGGTGCTTGGTACTGAGATAAACAAGGGTTTGTCCACCTGATTAGTGTGCTGTGTGTAAGTGGGGTACCCTGTGAAAGTGTCATGGTACCTCAGTAGACGAGCATTAGTCTTTAATCCCAACTAGTACAATCACAAGCACACACATTCAGGTTGCAATAGCAACTGAGCAATAATCCAGAAACATCATGGCTGGGAACACCAGAAATAAGCTTAACACATCGTACTGATGTGGGGAATCGAACCTGAGTATTCGGTGTGACGTGCAAACGCTTTAACTACTAGGAAGTGCAATCCAATGACATTTCACCTCAACTTACCTTCCTGCATGTGAAAATGAATGTTCTTGCATCCAATAGTCTCCTTGAGGCAATATTTCTGGCTAAGACTACAGAACACGTTCCATTTGTGGCTTGCTGACATCAGTGTTTGCCCTAGGTATAACAATTTAGGAGTTATCATGACACACTGATGTCATGAGAGGGAGTCATGGACATGTTTTTGGGAGTCAGATATGCAGGTTTTCTGCATCATGGCAAACACTGTGAAATCTACTTCATTAGAACTATCTTCTTCGGAAAGAGAAGACAAACATGTTTAACAAGTAACAACAGTTTATTAGCATGAATAAAATCTAACAGCCGATGCAGACAATGTTGTAAGATAGGTACATAGGTCAGAGGTCATTCCTCAGTCTTGGAAGGATTCTGGGCAAAATGCACCAAATTTCATCACACACTTTGCAGAACAATGGGCTGAATAGTTATAATTCTGAAAATCACTCCCATGTCTGTTACAAATCTGTTGCAAAATATATTTTGATCCCTTAACCAGTTGTTTGGTACAAATTCAGAAATAATTAAACAGAAGAAATCATATTTCCCTTTGAGTACCATAATTTACAGAGATATTTAATTACATCTCCTTTCTTAATGAACCTGTTTCAAACATTTTGAACTGCTGAATGAAACAAATGAAATTTCATTCATTCAACAAAATTTCAATGAACCTTTTTCATTATACTGTATATTGCAACATTTCATAACATTGATGTGACACTGTAGTAATGATGAAAATGCAAACTCAGCAAATTTTCTGCCCCAAAATAGGATATCTTAGATTTCCAAATCCTTCAGGAACTGATGCCAAGTTTCCCCTGTAGTACATAACATCTACCACAAGGCTGCACACTGACACTGGGATTATATGTCTAACATATGTTCATAAAGAAATGACAGACTCTTCAACTTTAACACAGTTCAGTCCCTGCTGAAATGCTTGATCACAAAACCTAAAAATCTATAAGCACAATCAGAAAACCATTTTCTACTTAGTTGCATAATAACAACAGCTCCCATCATAATATTTGTGAATGCGCAGGATATCATCAAGATATTTTATTCAAGATTTACAACAGAACAAGTCGAAGACATAAACATGACATGATAACCATGCAGCATATAGTCTCTACTACATCAGTGACAAGAAACTGTGTTTCAACTCTGCAGTGCTAATATAACACTGACTACAATGAGAGCCAGTAACAGTAACAAGATGGCCTTCATTACTATCATGATGGACAAGATACATCATATTAGTAGGGAAGACTCAATCATCTTCAAGGCCTTCACAATATCCTCTCCTAAAACTTATGTTTTTAACAAAATACAATTATAGACTGGTGATGAGGTTTATACCTGAAAAGCAATATTGACCGAGGACTGTCTTGATGGACCCGCGAAAAGCAATACTGACGAGGACGAAATCGGAGGTGAATATTGCTTTTCGCAGGTCCATAAATACAGGTATTGACCAACTTCACCAGTCCAGAATTGTTTTCTTATGTAATTACCGAAAAAAGCTTCTAAATACCAAAACATGTCCATTTAGTCAAGAAAAGTAAAAAAAAATTCGCTACAAACCAATAACGCTATGTCAACAATACTGTGACATGCAAACAATAGAATGACGTCATAGCTTGACGTCAAAATCTATTTTTAGTAACTCAAATCACTATGACTTTTGGTCGGACCTGGGTTGGAGTCAATATGCTTTTCTGTCGACGGTCACGTGACAGCCTCTAGACCAATTAGGTAGCCAGAAAAATATGCTTACATAATAAAGTCATTTCAAGATTTACTCCTGGAATGACACATTCCAGATCTGTAGTTGGAAAGCATACACATTGATTCCAATTAGAGATTTAGTGCCTGCATATTTTATTAGGAACCAACACAGGTATAGATATTAAAAATTATCAATTTCAGGCATGCCATATCTATTTTATTAACCTTCAAATCTGAAAATCTTAATAATTGGTTTTGCAAATACCAATGTAGCTTTATTGTCAATATTTCATGTATCTGGATTCCTCACGTTCCTCCATCACCTGTGAATACATTAGCATGAAGATGCTGATATGAAGAATAGTCCTGATATTTAACCAGCAAATCTGGGGGAAGTAAGTAAGCTCTCAGACCAAAGAGTGCTTACCTCATATCTGCCTTGTGTTTGACTGTTTAGCACATGTCAGGCAATGCATTTGCACAGAGTTCAATAGAAGAGCTCTTTACATTCCCATGACTTACAGACCGCCTCTGTGGTGTAGTGGTTAGAGCGTCCGCCCGGAGAGCGGAAGGTCACGGGTTTGATCCCCGACCGCGTCATACCAAAGACGTTAAATATGGTACTTGTTGGTCCCTGCCTGGCTCTCGGCATTAATGGGTACAACAAGGACTGGTCGGCTCGGAGTCAGTATAATGTGTCTGAGTGGGGTATTCATGCTTCACTGCGGCATGGTATCTCAGTGGGCTAGCACTATAAAACCAGCTTAAGTCTGGGCTAGTACAAGCAGGCGCACATACACATACATGCATGCACGTCGTCATATGAGCGAAATATTCTCAAGCACGACTTTAAACCTACTTTCACCTCACCTCACCCATGACTTACAAACAGCTTAATTCTGAAATCCTACTAAAAACTGACACACGTCACTACAACCAGTATTACACTGGTGATGAAGAAGAATAGTGTATATGAAGCAATGAAGCAGTCATGCTGTGCACATAGGAGTGAGTGAGTGAATTTAGTTTTACTCTACTTTTAGCAATATTCCAGCAATATCTTCGCGAGGGACACCAGAAGTGGGCTTCACACACTGTACCCATGTGGGGAATCGAACCCAGGTTTTGGGCACAACGAGCAAACACTTTAACCACTAGGCTAGCCCACCGACAATGTACACATAGGAGATGAATAAATTATAAAGTCATGAAGTACTGTTGACATAAGAACGGGTGATGAAGGAAACGAGGGAATAGGACTCCATGGAAGTACTGACAATGACTTTTGTTCATTCAAAAACATTTCTTCCACCATATAATTCCAGGAGTAAGCATGACAAGTCTACAACAAGAAGCAGTGATACCCAGTAAAGAGGTCATAGCTTACAGTTCAACACGAACCATACCCTGTTAACAGAACAGTTTGATGTTGGGGTGTGAGTTTAATAATAATAAAAGCACCAAATAAACATCCATAATTCATCATAGAAATCTCTGCAGTGTTACAATGTTAAAGCAGAGTCCAGTGTATAATTCAAACTATTATATCATAAGGATGTGTTTATTCATTGCGAACAAATAGTGATGAAGACTGGTGTTGGCAAAAACAATGAGCATATCCTGCCCCAATAGTCGCCCATGTTGCAAATACATGCAGAGGCAAGACAATTGTTCACCTGTAAATATGTAAAAGTCAAAACAGGGAATTGCAAAAAAAAAGGGAACAAACAGTGGTATAATGGTTGATTAGCTAACAAACAACTAGACGGCACATTAATTTTAACAACACACATGAGTAATAAGTACATACCCTCTGGAATATAAGTTAGATCTTTTCCTAAAAATAATCTATAGGTGATCTCCAGACAAGCTGGATGTTGTACAATATGGAGCCTAATGCTTGAGTAAAGTAAATTGTAAAAAAAGGCAAGAACTGTGAAAAAAGAAACACAGCCATGAATGAAATGCAAAATCTTCATCAATACATGATTCAGAAAACAAGGTAAAATGTAACATTAATATTCCCACAAAAATACTACACAATCAAATGACAACCAGAAACACCATGAGGATCATAATAGTGCATGCTACTCAAAAGAATTAAGAATACCCAATTCTTTCAAATTACTTTAGTTACGGTCATATCAGTCATAGTTATGTGAAAGAATCAGGTTGTCCTTGACTTCTTTTGTGTAGTATAAAATACTGCAACAGTCATCACAGCTTCATCTTGACTAGTTGGGATGGAGGAAAGAAAATGCCATTTTCCCAGTGAACCAAATGTCAGCAACAGACCACTATAATGTCAGATTCATTTGCAAAAAGAAGTTTGAGATGTGCCCTTATACTAGTGTTGGGAATTGGTTTCAATCTGATAATTAATGATTGGTTCATTACAACCGATCAATCATCGAAAATTATTGGTTTGCTTCATTTATCAAATTTTCCTGGTTATGTTTGTTAATGCACAAAAGGTAAAGAAAAACACATGTAGTTCTTACGTTTTCTTTGCAAATTGCACAAAATGCATTTGCAAATTTCACATCTTTAAAGGATGACTAGCATGTTAGAAACATGAATTTCATGGAATCTTTAAAATATATTCAATCATGGAAGAGCTTGTAGTGCTAATGAAATCTAGCAGACAAAACCAACCTTGTGAAAAATATTGTTATTGCAAACAAGTGCTCCAAAATTGATTGTGTTCGATTATGAGAAAGCATGATCGATTGCTTGGTTGTTTTGTCATTGCGACCAATCTTCGATTATTTCAATTAATTGGACCACCACTATTATATACCGGTGCCCTTGTAAACAAAATTCCAGTGCAATGATACTGCCATGGAAACAAGTGAGTGTTTTTCCGCAATTGAAATTGTGACAGCCAACTTCACTAAAGCAGCAAAATTATCGGGTCAAGGACACTATGGTAATAATGACTAAGCTGAATTAAAAATGAAGGAAAGCCTTCCATACTTCAAATGAATACTTGAATCGATAGATATTGTACAAGTTAAGTCAGAACATGCCACTGTCAGTCCTATAAACTCTAGTAGCCCTTTGTATTTCCAGTATGTTCATGTCCCATATACATCCTTGTCTGAACTTGTCTTCTGCCCTCATTTTATGTTCTAACACAACTGAACATGTAACTACCAAAAGTAAGTATTACAACTGCTAGGTCAGGAATGGGTAATATCGGTACACGGGTTGGTACATCTTGGGCATTCACCAGACAACTTTGACCTGTTGTTAGTCATGTGTTCAGTGACAAATAATTGCTATAATTCCCTGGTAGAATTACAAGTCACTATTGTACTTGTGTCCTGACTTTTATAATATGTTTGAAAACAGATAAAGCTTCTATCAACGTAAACAGATGCACAACCATATACTTTCATATGTGTATCAAAATACTATTTTCCCAAGCTCCAGTAAAACTAATCCTAATTGGAGAAGTAACTTATGGTACCTCCACTGAGTACCTGAGTATGGTTGGATACCCAGCAGTGGGTTTGGACACTTCACAAACATATAAACTACAACAAGTGGCTAAAATCACAGTGTTAAGGAAAATCGATTGAGTTGTTTATTCCATTAAAAAAATTAACAAATTGACTAGCATCTTTCAACAACTGATCTCAAATACTCCTCAACTGATGTCTAGTTGTACCACACTATAATATTGCATAAAACCCATTCAAAAGGGACTGTGGCCATGGAAACCAAACAAGCTTCCTCCAAGTCCCTCACCAATACTCGATTACACATCCTAATAGTACTTTGAGAAACGTATCACAGCCTCATGAAATATATGTAATAAGAAACAAAAGTCTACTATACCCCAAGGCATAAAGTCATCAAATATAGTTCTTCCCTAACTATTATAAAGAAAAACCATGGGGACACTTCCCTTCATTGACAGAAATGATAGTGAGTTTGGTTTTACGCCGCTTTTAGCAATATTCCAGCAATATCACGGCAGGGGACACCAGAAATGGGCTTCACACATTTTGCCCATGTGGGGAATCAAACCCTGGTCTTCGGTGTGACAAGCAAACGCTTTAACCACTAGGCTACCCCACCTCCCAAAGAAATGATAGAACAATGTGACCAAGCACACTTTAGATCACTGTGGAGGTAACTGAACAGCATCATGACATTAACCCCTACATAAGTGTACCTTCTTACAGGGTAAAGTACAGTTGCCACTTTTGACCTTTTAGTGAAACATCTCAGAGGACAGACTATTCAAACTCAACCACATAGGAGCTTGATGTTAGCATTGCAGAATACTGCAAACCAATTATCTGCAGAAAACTGAACCCAAGGTTGTGCATCAAGTGACCAGATAAACAAGTACAATCTTGCAGTTGATGGACCCGTGAAGGTCCTTGTTAGAATGAATCTTCAGTAACCCATCTTTGTCGTAAGAGGCGACTAACAGGATCGGGTGGTCAGAATCGCTGACTTGGTTCACACATGTCATCGGTTCCCAAATGCGCAGATCGATGCTCATGCTGTTGATCACTGGATTGTCTGGTCCATACTCGATTATTTACAGACCGCCGCCACATAGCTGGAATATTGCTGAGTGCAGTGTAAAACTAAACTCACTCACTCACACATAGGGACCAACTTTATTCAGCACTGGTCCCTTTCTATCAGATACTAGACATTCACAGTAGCACTTGCCCATAAACTTCAACCCTACATATTTCATCTTCGATGACTCAAATTTAGAATCAAATGCTTCAAGGTACAGTGATTCACCTACAGGAAAAATATCAAATCATTACATATAAGTACGGGCCAACACTGTTGTGTTTAAGTTGTGTCACAACAAAATGAAAAGTTATCACACCCATGGTATCCAGAAACATATTGCAAACCCACCGTATCATTACACCGCTTAGAATACAGGCCACTGGGTAAGTTTATGAATAAGGTTGCTCTCATTACGAAACACTAAACACTACAGCAAAACACAACAGGTACCAAACACTATTAGTGTCATCAGCAAGCATGTGTATAATCAATCTGTGTTAGGTTAGACATGACTAGAGTGAAAAACACCATCTATGTACCTCAAAATTGTACAAAATGGCAGCATTTCAGAAATATAACACAGACATTTATATACACAATGTATAAAAACAATAGGCCTGTACTGGTGAGAAGACCTATGCCAATTAAAGAGGGATTATGCTTTATGACCTAGTACCAGTTGTCTCCCTTGTCCTAGACATCGTAATCAATATCATGTGTTAAAACTGAGACATCATGTCTCTGTACTAAGGGCAAGCATTAATTGGCCGACTTTGTATATAATTAGAATAACAGAATAAGAACTAGCACCAGTAGTAGACAGCAGGTGGTGTTGGAGGGACACACCTACTGGGACTGCAAAATACCAATTACCCACTTGTATACTGTGCTGAAGAGATGTATCCTTTTTACTGAACCTGTTCTCAAAGTTCAGACACAAAGACACTCCAAGACACAATCACTGCTTAGTCAGATTAAATGGTTTTGATATGCCTTTGTTTGTATGATGTATGCTTGTCGTAAGAGGCGACTAACGGGATCGGGTGGTCAGACTCGCTGACTTGGTTCACACATGTCATCAGATCCCAATTGAGCACATCGATGCTCATGCTGTTGATCACTGGATTGTCTGGTCCAGACATGATTATTTACAGACCGCCACCATATAGCTGGAATATTGCTGAGTGCAGCGTAAAACTAAACTCACTCACTCACTCGTTTGTATGTAATTTTGTGGCAATTACACAAACAGCTTGCTATCCATGATTTTCTTGAATAATAGTTGTACATTAAGATATAAATAGTGTCTTCAGAAGACAGGATAGGTATGCTGCCCAAGTACAAGAGTCACCTAACCAAAGCATGATCCATACCTAAAAGGTTCATAAGATTCGGTCAATGAGAGTATTTTAGCTTTCCAGTTGACATGAAGGTAAAGGGTTCATTGTCATAAACTAATACTAAACACAGATTCAAATACCTGAGAACACCTCAAGGCCCCTCAATTTTGAAACACAATTGCTTAACTTGATCATGCTGATGCCCAAATCATGATTATTGTTCATGAGGCCAATAACTGACAGAATTTGTAAAACAAAATGATAAAACCTAGAAGTCCACAAGCTGAACATCCAAAAATTATACGAACACATGTCCTGTTCCTCAAGAATCCATTTTCAGTTCCTTTCCCATAAGCCTGAAGACAGAAAAAGAAATAGTCTAGAAATGTCATATTATAGAGCACAGTAACTTCACAATTTACTGCCATGGGTATTTGATCTGTCTCTCAACATGGCAGGGATGGCAACAGGAAAATCCAATTTCAGCTGAAATGTTATTGAGGTTTAATCAAATGGGGGCTTGAGGAGGGCACAGAATTGATAAATTTGAAATAAAATCAGCGGAAAATTGCCATCAATGATATTGTGGGGCCATTGGTGCATCCATTGGGAATGCCAGAAACCTGTGATTTGTGTGAATACTGGTTTGTCCCTCATGTGCTCTTGGGAATATCAGTTGTACAATTAAGTGATTAATGTCTGAGGCTTGTATAAGACGAGTATATGGATGGAAACTTCTTCTTTATTGTATAAATGTATTGTGTTATGCAAAAAAGAAGAAGTTGCCATCCATATACTCGTCTTATATATTCACTAACTTCTAAATGCCTCTCAAGAATCTAGTCTGAGGCCTGTGTCACACAAAGGAGACCAAAATATAATAAACTGAAGAAGGGTACAGAAGCTCACCTTCAATAAAAAATAACATAGGACATAAAGGCAAAAACGTCTTATTCATTAGGGCTTTAAATGATGCTGGATGAAGTAAAAGGGGTAAAACTAATGATAGATAAATTTGAAAGTTAGCTCTGATAAAACAAAAATATTAACTGTGCTTTTTCTATATTGCAGAAACAGGCTCAACAATCATGCATTTAGTAACAATAAGTGTGAGAGGGGATGTGTTCATAAACTCATCACTTTCACAACATGAGCTTCTATCTCGTTTTAATATATTTGATATCAAAAGGAATGAGGGTAAGATTCTCTTTTCATTCAACAATGATGAACAATACAAAAAATAAAAAAGAATGAATGGTTGAAAAAACTAATAATGTTAGCTAAAACTGGAATTTCAGCTGAAGTACAAAAATGTAATTTTTAGAGTAAAATTGATATTTTATACTTATCCTGACTCATGCTCTTTTGCTTGTCTTCTTCTTCTTGCGAACATAGTGGAACACTTGTATCTCCTTATTTGAAGCTCCCTTCAAAATAAAATCACTAATTGGTACTCACCACGAGTTGCTCCCCTTTGTCTCCCCTGGCGGGAAAAGGTGTCGCCACCCTCTGGCCATGTGCTCCACTCTCTCCTGATTTAGCGAGCCCAACACTTGAATTTACAGGGAAATCCAAAGTGTTATGTGGGGAGGATGGGAGGGCTAACCTCATGAGTCAGGATAAGTATAAAATATCAATTTTACTCTAAAAATTACATATTTTTTTCCTTATCCTGACTCATGCTCTTTACTTGTAGCATCCTCACGGAACGGAGGTGGGTAACAGAATACTTTGGATTTATAATTAGTGATTTTGTATAGATATACTGTAATATCCCCTACGGGAACTTCATGAAGTCTTAGATTTAGGATGTTTCCTGTATAAAGAAAACCATAGGTTATATAAAGCCATTAAGGGGAATTACATTATGAATATATTGAACAATACATATAAATTATATATATATATATATAGGTGACTCTGATAGAGGCACTGAAATTGACTATATCCAAGTATATGCTTAAGGTAGAATACTTAAGCTGAACATATATACATAGCCCTAAAACTCCTTAGAGTTATAAGCTAGATGAGTATGTATAAAATACATATTAATCTTGTGAGGCTAATATTTTAACGCCTACGAGGGACTGTCAGTTGCTGAGCGAGGACCAGTGGTCCGAAATGGTGAATGCCAGAGACATCTTCTGTAGTGATGTCTCTTAGGTAGTGATTAGCAAATACCATGTTAGATTTCCAATAGCATCCTTCCATAATCGTGGTTCAAGGAACAGTTACCGTAGGGCGAGGGTAGAGGCCAGTGCCCTGATCTCATGTGGATTTGATGCTGTTGGTGGGTCCAAAGCCCGCTGCCTTGTAGGCACGGGAGAATGACAGTCCTTATCCAAATAGATATTGTAGGTCCGTGACACTTCTGTTTGATTCAAGTAGGCTTATAATGGGATGAATAAACGTTTGAGAAATCTTCTCCTTGTTTTGGATCGTCAGTAAATAAACTTTGAGCTCTTACCGACACAGTGATAGGTCTTGTGTATCTTGTGATCCGAGAATAGAGGATAGCTACGGGATGTGGAATAATCTGTCTGGTTGACCTGGCAGTTGATTCTTTGCAATGAAATCCCATCTTAATCCGAGGTGCGCCATGTGTTATGATTGTCATCAAACTGTATCCTTCGTAATCCAGAGGCGTGAATTTCAGACATTCTTGCCAAAGCTGTGGCTAGCGACCATAGCAGAAACAATGTTTTCTGTGAGAGAAATTCAAAGTTTGTCGACATTCCAAGGGTTCATAGACCTCACTCGTGAGGTGTTGTAACACTACATTCAGATCCCAAGCTAGAAGTGGAACTTCCGCTTTGGTCCTCCAATCGAAAGCTCGTAGTAAGGCCAGTAACTCTGGAGATCTTGTCAATTTGACACCCGCTCTCATGGTGATTACAGAGCTAAAGCGGCAAGATATGTTGATATCGTTGAACCTTTTAAATGTTTGTTTTGGCGTAGGTAACACAAATAGTCTGCCACTTGAGGTTGTGAAGCCTCTCTTGCTGTAAACCCTTTCTTTGTTGCATAATTTTCAAACTGTGCCACTTGTCGCCGCACAAGTTCACGAAGTTGAGTAACGTATGCTGTTGCGTGACTGCTTTGCAGCCCTGGCAGGATATCCTCTCTTGTTTAAACACATTTGTATACAGTCCATCACGCGTAGTTGGAACATTGCTGGGTTTCCGCACTTGTTTGGTGTGAGGATGAATTAACAGGTTTGGCGCTGCTTGGGTAGCTCCAGTGTTGGTTGACCGATTTCTTTGAATTAGTATGGGAAACCATCGCTCTGGCCGGCCAGTAGGCTGACCAAAGTGAGTTGTAGGCTCTGTGTTTGTCTGATTTTCTGTAATACTTGAGGTATTATTGCTGGCCCGCGGAAACGCTGCGACGCATTGAGGCCTTCCCATGATAGACTTGAGAGTCCGCTGCCCAAGCTTGGGGGTCTGGGACTGGTGACACGAATGTCGGTAGCTGATTGTTGAATCGCGTGGCGAATAGGTCTATCAGCGGCCCTAATTGCTTGATTATCTGTGCAAAATTTCCGGTTGATCATCCACTCTGTCGGTGATGGTAGATGAGGCCGAGAGAGCCGCCTGCTAGTATATTTCTGGCTCGGGGAATGTGCACTGCTCTGACATGTAGATTTAGATCTTGTATTAAATCCCGAACAGTTGAAAGCTTAGGTTCAAAAAGGTTCATCGATCGCTTGAGCCTTGCTTGTTTATGTAGAACGCCACTGTCGAATTGTCTGTATGGATCATTAGGCTGCATTTTGTAGAAATGTGCTCCAATGTAGAATGGCGCTGATTACAGCTTTCATTTCTAGACTGTTTATATGGAGTTTGCATTCTGCTGATTCAATAACCCTGATATCGCGGTGGTTGGTGAGATGAGCTCCCCAACCTTGGAGTAACCAGCGTCTACATACAGATGGGTTTTGTATTCCTGCTCTGCTAAACAAATCCCTTGCTTGAGCCATTCGATTTCTTGGTCCACCATAGTAGATGTGGTCTGAGATGTTTCGGTAGACTGAATGGTTGTATCGTTGAGATGTGCGCGTTGATGAGGACCTGTAGGGGGCGTAACTGTAATCTGCCTGTGACAGTCATGTCTTGGGCTGATGTGAGAAGACCTAGTAGGCTCTGCCATTGTCGCAGTGGTAACGGAGAGAGTAGAGCTGGTGGAATGGTCTGTTGTATCTTGAGCCAACGGTCTTCTGGTACCATAATGCGGTTAGCGATTTGTGATGAATCGAATACCTAGGAACTGTAGGTCTTATGATGGTACTAGGTCCGGGATTTGCGTGAAGTTTACTAACCAACCTAGTTGTGTTAGTAGCTTTATGATGTAATTTAACTGTAGTTTGAGACGAGTGGATCTTGATCTACTTGTATCCCGTCGTCGAGGTAAAAAGCACTGCGTAGCCCTTTGACGATGTAGAAATTTGATAATCGGTTTTACGTTATCCTCGCGAATAGCCAGGGGCTGATGATATTCCGAATGGAGTACTTTCCACTGGTAATGTAGCCCTTCTAGAATTAATCGTAGAGGTATTTCCTGGAATCGGGATGAATGGGGATGTGCAAGTAGGCATCCTGTAGATCTATGCTGCCCATGTAGTCCATAGGGCCTAATCATCTTTCGGCGTAACTCGAGGTAAATGTATCATCGCGAAACTTCGAAATTGGTTTGCGTAGATAGTTCTTGCTGAAAAAGCTCATGTTGTAGATGAGTCTGTATTTCTCATGTGAGTTTTTCTTGGGAACTAGGAAAACTGGGGAGTAGAAACCTGGTTCGGACGCTTGTTTGATCTATTACTTCTATGGCCTGTTTTGGATAGGAGTGATGAGACAACCCCTCTTTTATCTTTGGTAGTTGTTTGGCGCTTTGTAAATCGAACTTGGGGGGTTTGATTGTCAGCGGAGGCTTGTCCTGTAGAGGGATAACGAACCGTGTTGAATAATGTTGGAGACGGTAAGGATCTTGCAGTATTCCCCAGTTTTCCCAGTGTAGTTGGAAGGCCCACCCACTTGAGGCTGGTTGTACCTGGAGCGGCTGGGGGTGGAAGACTCCAGTCGTTCGAACCTGTGTGTTCAGCGCCTATAATTGCGGGAACCTCTGGGTGTCCTGCCTCTTCCTGATCCTCCTCTCTATAGCTGCCATATGGGCTTACGAAAAGAATCTTTACCTCTAGAGCTGGCTATCTTCCTGTCTCTTTGCTCTTTGTGGTGGCTGCGTGAACTTAGATCTGCTCTGAGTATCTTTGTGAAGTCACGATCGAATGACGCTGGCTAGTGTGTCCATCGATCTAATCATAAGGACTTCCTGGAATCCTTAGAGACTTCCTTTGCGACCCTTTGTCGATTTCTCCGTCAAAGATGGATGTTGCTTCCACCACGGGGCTGTATAAAGTGGGGCTGTAAAGTTCTCCCCCAATTACAGGAAGGCGAGGAGGCCTTGGACGACGAGCTAAGGTCAGTGCTGCTGAAACAGATGTAAGATGATCCGTTAAAAACTGCTGCTGATCTTTCTTTTGCATAAGTAAAGGCAGAATAAATCATTCTATCATCTTCCGTCAGTGGAATCCGAATCTAGTAATAAGAGTCTCATTGATCGTCCCTAGATCTATTTAACCCAAAGAACATACGATCTGCGTCATGGTTTCTATATGAGCCAACTGCGATCATCCATCTTGTAAATCTTGTTCTTTACATCGCTGATGATCTTATAGTTCTCATCATGTCCTGGGCCTTGTAGAAGGAGTCCATGTTATGCGTGGAGAACTTCTTGGCTTGAAAGTTGGGTAGATGTGGTATCTGAACTTTACGTAGCTTTCTGGAAAGCTGCATCTAGATTCTGTGGCACTGCCGCAATCGGTCGTCGGGGGTAGAGTGATTGCATCTGGATCATCTTCCTTCATGAAATACGTCCTGAGCTGTATTGCCACTTTTAGATGGTGATGTGAGATCTAGGTTATTGACCATCAATACCGTATCTCTGCATCAGAAAAATATGATTCCTCCATCATCCTCAAAACCATCATCATTAATAAATTGTAGATGCTCTTCGGACTGCGCGTAGCTGTCTTGAATATCTGATGAGGTTTGTGGCGATCTAGTTGACTTGTGCGCGGCTCTATGTGGAGATCTGATGGGTGATCGACCTGTTGATGAACGGAGTGGAGATGCGCCTATGGGATGATCTTCGGAGACTTGTGAGGTGAATGTTGATAGCTTCGCGAAGCTCTTCGGGCAGTCCCTCGATGATCTTCTAGGCGATGAAGATCTGGAATCATATGTCTTTCGCGAATGCCTTCGCTAAGCTTCATTCGCGTCGGTCCGGGGGATCGATGATATGACCTTCGCCGAAGGCTTCCGTGATGTCTGATGGTCTGAGTCCATATCTAGAGATGAAATCGAAGATGGTGATGATCTCTCGCCTTGGGCGAAGGCCTTCGCGAAGAGCTGTACATCTAGGTCCTTCGTCAAGGTGGTGCGGACTTCCTTCGAAGAAGGTGACATCGCCTTGGCTGCTTCACGCTGATGGGGGTGCCTCTGGGTGCTGTTCACGTTGGAGCCTTCGCTGGTTTCGGACGCTGCTTGCGCGGTTTGTAGTGGTCCTCCATGATGTTTCATAATCTGCATACATGTCTTCTGGGATGATCACCATTTAAGCGAAGTGCGGGCGCTCTTTTCTGCGCGATGGGGTTCACATCAATGACGTCTGACGCCGGTGTAGAAGGCATCAGGCTGCATGGAGATCTCTGCAGAAGTCACAGTCGCTGACACCGGTCAACTTCTTCTGCCGTAAGTCGGATGATTATCGGCTGATCATCGAGAGAGAGGCCCAACTCTGCTGCTGGAGCGATCTCGGCTGAGAAAGTTCTTGCTGTCTTCGTGATTTCCCTTTGGAAGTCTGCGCCCCTGGGTGTCCTCAATCTGGCGCTTGAGACGGCACGATGAGAGCCCTCTTAGACTTAGTCTGCAATGACGGATGTCTGGGGAGGCCGGTCGCTTCTTCGAGGTAGCGGACTTCGTCCCATCGTTCCTCTGCGCCGCAGGGTCTCTAGCAGAACACCAGACGAGGGAGAGAATTCGATCGCTAGCAGCTGACTGGAAGGAATATCTGGACTCTCTGCCATGTTTTGCCCTTGTTTGCGTGATCTCTATCTGCAGCACGTCTTAAAGGCCTTAAAGATGATATTTATTAAATGCAGAATGAGATAAATTAATGCAGTAACTGCAGCGTGAATTAAGCACGCAGTAGAACAACTAGGGCATATTACATGTGGATCGGAGGCAGAAAAGCGTAATCTACAAATCGTACAGATTTTCATGAGCGTAAAGCTAGCTGAACAATCCGCGAATACACGCGAATAAACAGTAGAAATCACGATAATTAATCAATACAAATAGTAAAGGATACTAGCTATACCTCTATAGTAACCTATGAGAGGTAAAAACTAAGAGATTATCAAAGGATATGTGTGTGTAAGGAGACACAAGCTCACTGGGCTAAGAAGGAGAGAGTGAAGCACATGGCCAGAGGGTGGCGACACCTTTTCCCGCCAGGGGAGACAAAGGGGAGCAACTCGTGGTGAGTACCAATTAGTGATTTTATTTTGAAGGGAGCTTCAAATAAGGAG